GATTACATAGCAGTTTCAAACACCCTAATCGGTGTAGTATTGCTGCTTGCTGGGGCCATTGCATCTCTGGTGCAATCGCTCGGTAACTCAGTTGCAATACTGCTGTTTTCGTTAATGGCGTTCGTTGCCTGCATATTCATTTATAAATTGCCCGAAGCCCAGGAACAGTAGGTACCACTATGCAATCAGAAGACCCACGCGTTGCAGATGCCCTTCATGACGCTGCAGAAGCCAAAAACGACGCCTATGCGCCCTATTCAGGATTCAAAATGGGTGCTGCCGTGGTGACCCAGACCAACGCGGTGATCAAAGGCTCACTGGTGGAAAATATTTCCCTCGGTCTTGCTATGTGTGCTGAGCGTGTCGCGCTCTTTTCTACTGTCGCAAACAATGCCGGCAAGCCTGAGATTCTGGCTTTAGTATCCCGTCGCACCGATGGTGAACTGACCTGGCCTTGCGGTGCGTGCCTGCAGGTTGCAATGGAATTGGGCGGCGCCGAATTGCTGATTGCCGTATCCGATGGCAAAAAGACTGAAACCCGCAAATTACACGAACTGGCTGCGCACCTGCCGCACAAAAAGTGATCCGCAAACAAACTCTCTGGCATAAGCTATTTTTCCTGATGTGTTGTTTGGCTGCTCACCCTTTGTTCGGGCATGGTTTAGTTGACGCAGCAAACGATGCCTTCAACGATCTTCGCCTGACAGATGCAAACCGATTGCTTGCTGAGTTTTCAGAAACCCAGGCACCAACCGCGAGAAGCTTGTATCTGACTTCGCGTGTTGCCGTACTTCAGGGTCAGCTGGAGGTTGCGCGAAACGCAGCTGACGATTGCCAGCGAACGTTTCCGGATGAAGCACTGTGTTATGAAGCCAAAGGCGAAGCGCAATTGGTTACCCTCCTTCTGCAAGGGGGCATTCTCAGCAAAATCGGTGCGGCCCGCTCAGCTCGGAAAGCTCTGGAGCAAGCCGTTGAATACGATGGCAAAAATATGCGCGCCAGAATCCTCCTGGTAAGATTTTATACCCTGGCACCGTGGCTGCTCGGCGGCAGCAAATCAAAAGCCAGAGATCAGGTCAAAGCCTGCCGGGATTATGACCCGGCGCTGGGCCACGAAGCGCAAGCGTTATATGACCTGGGGGTTGGCAATACAGCTGCCGCGGTAAGCGGCTTTGCCAAAGCCCAAAAACTGTCGCCAAGTGAACGCGACCCAGCTCTTTATCTTGCCAAAGCCTACCTTGCAGACACACAACCCGAAGCCGCTATCAAAACGTTAGAAACCCTCGTTGAACGTTACCCGCGTTTTCAGGAAGCGTGGCTGGAACTCGGCAGGATAGCAGCTGAAAATCGCCTCGAGAGCGTACGCGGCATGGCCGCTCTTGAGCGATATCTTTTTCAGGTGGAAGGCGAATCAGGACTACGCAGGGCCGATGCGTTCACCTCCCTGGCGCGCCTCTACCTCAACGCCGAACAACCGCAACGGGCGGCGACGGTCCTGCACCAGGCGCAGCTTGAGCAGCCTGATAACCGCCCGATTCGAAAATTACTGACCGCTGTTTGTCGAGACCACGCCCAAGCTTGTCAGGATTAACTTTCGCGGCCGTAATGTGCCGCCAGGGCATTAATTTCTTCGTCCGTCAGCCCTGTCGCCATACCGTTCATAATCGCGTTTTCCCTCGGACCGTCGCGGTACGCGCGCAGCTGCAACCTCAGGTAGCGCTCCCACTGGCCATTGAGGTTCGGGTAACTTGCAACGTTCGCTTTGCCATTCACCCCATGACAGGCTACACAACCTTTTTCCTGCGCTAACGCAGCGCCATCCAAGGGCTCGGCACCACAGGCTGCAAGCATGCTCACCATAATACCGACCAGAATTAATCGAATTGCCATGTCGCGCCTCACTAATACGGTTTGTTAAAGAATTCGGAGATCTTGGTGATCTCCTCGTCGCTGAGAGGAGCGGCTTGACCATTCATCTGGTTGCCATGCTCTACGCCATCTCGAAAGTAGCGCAACCGACTGACCAGATAGGCGACGTTTTGACCAGCCAGATTGGGGTAACGCTGGGAGTTAGAAACACCCTGCTGACCATGACAGGTTATACAGTGATACTTCCACGCTAAGGCTTTGCCTTCGTCGGATGCAGCAGCTCCTTGAGAGACGCTTAAGCTCACGAACACTGCAAAGATTGGCAGAATGCTTTGTTTCAACTTCATAAATCTTCCGCTTTTGAAGAAAAAAGATACCCAAGTAGTCAAAGCGTCTAATAATAAGAAGCTTAACCTTGGACAGAACCGGAATTTTAGGTACTTATATTAGACATATCAAGATTATTCGGTGATAAATCATATTATGTCTATTATTTGTCTACATAAATGGGCCGACAATAGCTCCACTGCCAGGTAAACCCGGCCCAAACTGTGAGGCGGGACACATAACACGGCATTCGCACCTGTGGCTTGGTTCACATCTGTGACGCCCGCCGCCACGCTGAATAGTAGATTGCGACACTATCCATCATTGTGAACCAACGCCTCGCAGAACATGCTTGATACGATCATCAGCTTTATTGTCAGCAATCCCGGAACAGTGGCTACCTACGTCGCTGCTGGCTTTTTCTGTATCTGGTCAGGCTGGGTAGCCAGAGGGTTGGGTACAGCCCGTCGGGAAACAACGCTGAAACAAGCGGTCCTTGATGCAAAAAGATCTATCCCGCAGCTGGAAACTTCAGTTCGCAGTCGCGAACAACAGATAGACCGCCTGAACCTGGAGCTGGGCTCACAGCAGGAACGTATTGCAGAACTCGACCAGGTCGCCGCACAACAGGATTCTCAGATAAAGAGTCATGCCAGAGAAATCCGCACCCTGACAACCGAGTTAAGCTCAGCTAAGAAATTACAGGAACCCGGCAATATCCTATTGCAGGGTAGTGATTACGACGAATTAACAGGCGACCTTGACCCCGAGAGCCAGCGGCGGGTAAACATCGCGGAATCGCTTTATGAAGCATTGCGCCAGACACTGTCTGAACGAGAAGACAGGATAGCGGAACTTGAGACACAGCTGGCCAGCACGTCCAATACAGATTCTGCGCCTGCCCAGGCTGGCAACGTCGAAACCACAACTGGTGTGGACGCGCTACAAGATCAGATCAGCGCTCAGGAAACAATCATTAAACGCCTGGAAAATCAGCTGTCTGAACTACGCCAGGATCGCGAGATGCTTTCAGATCTTGCCCGCAGTCGCTCGAAGAACAACCAGACGTTGCAGGACAATCAGGAAGAACTGCAGTCCCGGGTGCCCGAACTGGAAAAAGCCCTGGAGCAGCTGGGCGCCATTGTCCAGGACCGGGAAGCATCGATTCGGCAGCTGAACAGCGAACTGGACTATGCAAACAAAGATAAGACACGTCAGCAGGACGAACTGCAGAACTGTATTGCCGACATGAAGATTCAGGAACAGGCGCGGGAGGCTTTGGAGTCCCGTGTTGTCACGTTAAGTGAAGAGATCCAGGCACAGCAAGCATCTATACGCGACATGCAGTACTCACTCGACCAGAGCGAATCCTGGCTGAGTAAATTCAAGGTCTCTGCTGCAAAACGCAGCGAAGAACTGGCAGACATTACTGCTGAGCGTGACGCTTTGATAGCTGCGCAGCAAGGCCCTGAACAAATCACAAACAAAACCAACAGCGCCTGACTGATTCGCACAAACGTCTGCTGTCTTTCTGACCTCGGTTAAAAAACTGATTTTCCCGTGAGGGTCGTGAATTGTTCCAGGGCGAGAATACCACGCACAGAATTGCCGTGATCATTAAGCTCCGGACTCCACACGGCGATGCTCAACTCGCCAGGAATAACCGCAACAATCCCACCACCGACACCACTTTTACCCGGCAGCCCAACGCGGTAAGCAAATTCACCCGCCTCATCATAAAAACCACAGGTCATCATTAAAGCATTAATACGTTTCGCCTGACTGGATGTCACCATAACTTCACCAGACTCTGGCACAACACCACCGTTAGCCAGATACAGGAAAGACCTTGCCAGTCCCGCGCAAGACATATCAATGGAACATTGATAACAGTAAACCTCCAGCACATCCTGCACTGGATGCTGCAGGTTATTCTGGCCTTTCATATAATTAGCAAGAGCAAGATTGATAAATGCTGTATCGCGCTCTGATGCGGCTACCGCATCGTCGTAAAAAACATCCTGGCAACGCAGCCTGCGGACAAAGTCGAGCATCTCGCCATTCGGCCGCTCCAGTGAATCGAGCAGACTATCGATAATGACCAGCGCTCCGGCATTAATAAATGGATTCCGCGGTATACCATTGTTGAGTTCAAGTTGTATCAGCGAATTAAACGGGTTGCCCGATGGTTCCACACCAACACGTTGCCAGAGCGCTTCTCCCGCCAACTTAATACCCAGGGTCAGGTTAAAAACCTTGGAAATACTCTGAATAGAAAATCGCTCCTGCGCGTCGCCAACTTGAAACTGCTGCCCATCAACAGTTTCAATGGCGATGCCAAATTTATCCGGGCTGACAGCAGCCAGCGCCGGAATATAATTCGCGACGCGCCCAACGCCAACAGATGAATTCAGTTGAGCGTAGATTTCTTCCAATATGCCCTGATAATCGATCAAGATGTTTGTCTCCCTGGCCACCTGAATCAGTCAGTGTTCGCAAGCGCTTTACTTAACGCTTGAATATCTAAGAGGCTGATACCACAACAGCCGCCTATAATTGCTGCGCCGGCGTCGATGTATTCCCGATGAATATCGACAACCACATCTGGCGCATCCACGAGCGCTTTTGCGGACCATAACCAATGTCCTGCTCCTGCGACGCGGGCGGAGATCTCCCCCCCATGCCACCATCCATAATTATCGTCGACATAGTGTAACTTCAGCTGATATGCAAATTTCGCGACACACTAACAGAGCACCTGTCGTTTCCATATGATTAGCGCTGACATTTTTGGAGACTGAAAAATGGAACAGACCTTATCGGACCAAGTGGCACTGGTAACCGGAGCTAATCGGGGTATCGGCCGTCAAATATCGATCAGCCTTGCTACCGCGGGCGCAACCGTTGTGGCCTCCGCCAGGAACCCTGCAACCCTAGATTCTGTTGCGCAAGAGATCGATCAGCTGGGTGGCCAATGTACTTGCGTCCAACTGGATGTGACAGAGGAAAGCATGACCAGCTCTGTAGTTGAGGAGATTGTTGCACAACATGGACAGCTCAACCTGCTCGTCAATAACGCAGGCATCGGTGCGGGCTCACAATACCCATGGGATCTGCCGGTAGACGAATGGTGGGCCGTACAGGAAGTAAACGTCCGTGGCGCCTACCTCTGCAGCCAGGCAGCCATGCGTCAGATGGTAAAACAGAAATCCGGCCGGATCATAGATGTTGGCAGTCTTATAGGCGCAAATCCCAACCCCAATGCTGCCCCCTACGCGGTCAGCAAGGCAGCTTTGTTCAGATGGAATTCGTGTTTAGCCGATGCTGCAAAAGAATTCGGCGTGTCGGTTTTTATTATCAGCCCCGGCCTTGTTGCCACGGACATGACCGACCAACCTCAATTCGCCGATATTCCAGATGATCAATGGGTGCCCATCGAGAAGAGTGGTGAACTGGTTGTCGCCCTGGCTAGCGGCAAAGCTGACAAACTTGCAGGACGGTTTATTCATGCACTCGATGATCTGGATGAGTTAATCGCCAATGCTGAAGAGATCACCAGTAAAAACCTGCAGGCGCTCACGCTCAATATGTACAACCCATTGCTCTGAAGATCCCGATGAAAGGCTGACTGACTGCCAGGCATCCTCGCGACCAAATCAGGATGATTCGATCACATCCAGCGGCGGCTGACCAAGGGCATCACGGTAGCTGCTGTGGAAGTGATGCAGCGCAGGCTCATTGCGGCCGAAGATGATTTCTTTCAACTGGCCGTTTTCCGCAGCACGCTGCTGCATCTCGCCCATCACGTAATCTTCCTGCTCAACTGTGCTGCGAAACACTTCGAGAGAGGCCTCCAGGCTTGCTGCGCCGTCTCCTCCGGTCCGCTCCTCATAGTTATAGACATCCCCTGTTGCGACAGCCTCCTCATCAGCCTGCGCAATCAATTGGGCAATCTCCGGCGCAAAATAAAAGGAGATACGCGTGATTGAACGGCCAGGGTTGTTTCGATCTGGGTAAATACGAATCAGCGTGACGTTCTGAGCATTCACGATAAGCTGAATGTTCGGAAACAGGTGGTAAAGGACAAACGTACCGCTTGTGATCTTCCAATCCTGTTCCGGTAGAGCCCGGATCGCATCAATGCCACGATTAGCGGTCACAAACCTATGATGGCGCCCAAATACTTTCAGATGCAGATTATTACCGTAATAAAGCTTACCTAGCGTGTTTTTGTGCAGTTTTCCAAAATGATAGGTTTCCCCAAACGTATCGTTAGCAAACTTCCAGTTCAGATTCATGTCGATGGTTTTGTTACCTGCAAAGGTATTTTCCGCCAGATTGAAAGATCCCAACTCTGCTGCAAGGTCGCCAAGAAGATCATCAATATCAAGGTGCCCATCAGGCTGGGGATGCACCCAAAGCAACCCATCGCGTTCAACCGCAGGCAGCTCGATCAAGCCGTGACAACTCTTATCTATGGCACCAAAGTGATCCTCGTCAGGAATAGAGATCAGATCACCGGTATTGGCATAACTCCAGTTGTGGAACGGGCACATGAATACCGACTTTCGACCACGCTCTTCATCCGCAACTTTCACCGATCTGTGCCGGCAGGCATTCAGAAAAGCGTGAAACTCACCTGCTTTATCCCGCGTTGCCAATATTGGTGTGCCAAAGTCGTCCAGCGTCATGAAGCTGCCCGGCTCAGGTAAATCGTTTGAAAGACCAATCAACTGGGGGTGGTTTTGAAAGAACGACTGCCATTCCTGGTTAGCCAGTTCCGGACACACATACGATGTGGTTGGCATCTTGTACTGCACACCGGCATCTATGTTCTTACCATCATCGAGCTGCTGCATCAGCTCTTTCAGTATTTCAACCTGTACTGCATGCTCCATGTAAGCCCCCTACCGCACTCGTCCGGGTAACCGCGGCGTATTCAGAAACGTAAACACCCAATGAATACCCACCACCAACAACAGATCAAAGTGATTATCCATTTGCCGACTGAGCAGCATGCCAAAGATAAATACAGCGACACACCACTGCCACTTCCAGCGTAGCGTAAAATAGTGCGCCACAGCAAAAATAATATTTGCCCCTAATACTGCGACAAACAATTCAACACCCCTGCTTTCCATGAAGTAAGGCACCGCAAGCCGAAACACCCATTCTTCCCAGGCGGACAATACACCGAGATACAAGACCCAACCTAACTTTTCGAGCCGCCAACGACGATCGACATACCAGGCATAGAGACTGAGGCCCGTCATAATCATCAACCCAGTCACGACATACAGCTGTGGATGGGTATAGAAATTTGTCAGCGCAACACTGAGCAGTGCTCGCATATCTGCATGCAGAAGACAGACCAGCCCAAGCAGAACACCAGGCAGACCATGCCGGAGAAAGACGGCAGAAAACGAATTCAAGCGCCTGCCGGTAAAATCCGGTGGGCGTTGCAGGCGCCGCTGACTGGGAGAGATAACGCGCGGCAGACTATCCCCTTACGCGTGTTGCGTTTTTAACCGAGGCACCACAGCCGTACCGGCTGCCAGATCGTGCAGGCAACGCCGGTCACGGCGCAAGGCAAATGCCTGATCAAGCAGCGGCAACAAAGCCCACAGGCCAACAATTGAATACAGTAAAGGTAAATAGAGCAGCGGAAAAAACAACGCGCGTATGGCAATCAAACGCCACCACGCCGCCTTTTCGCCGGATTGGGCGTCCACGATCATAATCCCCATCACCATCTTGCCAACGGTTTGTCCGCGCCTATGCAGCAGCCATCCGTTGATCAATAAGTAACCGGCCACGCCAAGCCCAATACCGCGCAACCAGATCTGATTGCCGGCATAGGCGTCAGCTGTTTCCATGGCACCAGAAACCAGCATGACCAGGAAACTCACAAGTGGCACCAGAACAAAATCGATTGATGACGCAATGATTCGACGACCCGTATGCGCTCGCTGCCCAGCAGCACTCACGGTGACGACTCCGCCGGCACTTCGAACACGAGTAACGCATTACCCGGTTTCTGACCAAAGGAACCATAACCAGAGATTGCGATTAACAGGTTGTCTGCCAGTACTGGTCCGTGGGCATCTATTGCCCCCCCTTTCGTGGGCAATCCGTTAACAGCTTCAAATTCGACCTGGGTATCAAAAGACCAGATAAGCGCACCGTTAATAGAATCATAGATCTCTAACAAACCATCTAGCCCACCAGACACAATGACACCGTCTGCAACGGTAATCCCTGAAGATAGACCGCTCCAACACTGGCGCCCCTCACATCGCTGCACGCGCGGTGCAGACCAACGTTTCTGACCGGTGGCGATATCCAACGCAAACATGCCTGGCTCTGCCTCACCTGTCCCGGGAAGTGCTGGCAAGTCACTGATCGGTACAAAAAGAGATGCATTGCGCTGATCAACCGCCATCCCCCAGTGGATGCCCCCCAACGCGCCTCCGCGACCTATACGTGTATGCCAGATTGTCGTGCCATCATCAGGATTAATGGCCCATATATCGCCGGATTTCTGTCCGGCCAGCACTGCGTCCTGACCATTGGGTAACGTCACAAGAATGGGTGGCGCGCCAAAATCAACATCAGGCCCCATGGGATCAGGACAATTCACACCGCCCGCTGTACAGGCCATGTTGAAAGCATCGTTTTCAGTAAACTGCGCTATCCAACGAGGCGCCCCGGAATCTATATCAACTGCAAAGATGGCGTCAGATGTTGCTGTTGTCGGATGACTGTAATTCTGTCCCGTGCCGAAATATAACAGGCGACGTTCGACGTCCAGCGTCGGCGCACCCCAGACAGGCGCGCCGCTCGGTCCATGCTCTTCTACAAAAAAATAATGTCTGCCCGTCACCTGCGGGGCATCAGGAATAGTGCGCCTGTACCAGTTGGTTTTACCGGTACGCAGATCGAGCGCAGCTACCGCGCCACTGGTTGTACAGCAGCCGTAAAATGGGTTAGCTGACAATCCAATCTCCATGGATGACAAAGGCACAAACACCTGATCCTCAAACACTAAGGGACTGCCGGAATAAACAGGCACGGGGTTGTCATCAGTCACCTGGCGCTCCCAGATGGTTGCACCGCTTGCTGCATCAACAGCAAAAATACCTGATTGACGACCCGCGATGACAAGCACTGTTCTGCCATCAACCACACCGTGACTGATAGCTGTAGAAGGATCGCTGATGTCGGGGTTCACCCAACGGGTACAACCACTTTCGCGCTCTAACGCCACCAGCCCGACATTAGCATCGCCAATAAATATCGTATCTTCAGTAACAAGTGGAAAAACGCGTGGAGATTGCGTGCCGAATCCATAGGCCCACTTCAATTTCAGATTGGCCGCATTACCGCCATTTATGACGGTATCTTTCGCAAATCGCTGGCTTTTGAAGTCGATACCCCAGCCGCTTTGATAAAAGCGGCTGATCCCAGGCGTTTTACTGCAGTCAGCGTGAGCATGACCAGAGAGGAGCAACAAAGCTGCAAGACCAGCAACGGCAAAGTTTCGCGCCCTGCATCTTATTGTGGGTGAGCTGGAGCCACACCACCCATGCCGCAGTTTTAAATTCGCTTGCACCATTTTCTCCCCTCGTTCATTGCCTGCCCTATTGACCACAAGATCAAGGCATCAGGACGCTACGCTGGCTCTATATTAACCATCAGCTTACTCGGTCCACCGAGCTGACCTGGAGCCGCCTCTTCGCCTGCAGCATAACAAATGCTTTGCAGATGTTTTGTCATCGATGCTACGGCTATCTGACCTTCCAGGCGTGCCAGGTGAGCACCCAGGCAATTGTGTATCCCAAAACCAAGTGCAATGTGCGGGTTCGGCTGTCGATCAATCACAAACTGGTCAGCATTCTCGAACACCGATTCATCTCTGTTTGCAGACGCGATCAGCGGCAGAACCAGCGCACCCTTGGGAATACTTATGCCAGACAACGTTGTCTGCTTTGTGGTGCGTCGAATGGTGGCCGAAAATGGGGAGTAAAATCTGAGCGTCTCTTCCACAAAAGTGGGGATCAGATCCGGGTTAGCTTTGAGTTGCTCAAACGTTTCAGGCATTTCGTTAAACACCCTTACGCTGCCTGTAATCAATCCCGTCGTTGTTTCATTACCCGCTATCAGCAGCAAACCACAGAAACTCAGCACTTCATTATCCGTCAGCTTGCCATCTTCAGTTTCTGTTTCGACGAGGCGGCCCAGCAGGTTATCTTCAGGCTGCTTGCGCAGTTCAGCTATCCGCTCAAGAAAGTAAGTGTCCATTTCCAGCTGCGCTTTCTGTACTTCGGCATCTGGCTGTGCAAATAGAATCTCACCGATATTGCTGAAAATTTTGTCAGACCAGTATTTAAACTGCTTCAAATCTCCATCAACCACACCCAGCATGTGTGCGATGACTGTCACTGGCAACGGCGCAGCCAATGCTTCAACCAGATCCAGTTCACGCTGCCGGGTCATGTCGATCACCAGCTCTTCGCTGCGCGCCTCAATCAGGGGGCGCTGACTTTCGACAAAACGGGGCTTAAAAGCATAACTGACCAGTTTTCTCAGACGATTGTGAACCGGTGGGTCACTGAACAACATCGAAGGTCTGATTTTCTTTTCTTCTTCTGAACGCAGGGAGACATCTGACGAAAATGTTTCGTTGTCTCGCAGAATGGTCATGACATCTTCATAGCGTGCCACGGTATAAGGCGCATCCGGCTGTTCCTGCAGCACCGGCTGATCTTTGCGCATGGCCGCCCAAATATCATAGGGATTTTGCGGTTGCTCAGATGTTACTTCACTCATGTCACTCACCAGCGGTTAGGAGGTTTTTACTGTGGACAGAGTGTAAGAAGAATCAGCGCCACTTCGTAGGGGCTACACCAAATATTTTCATGACACAGTATCGCCGGCGCCGGCTACTTTATAACTGGGATCTTCATAGTAGTTCACCTCAATCAGTGCCTCAGCATTTACCAACAGCGCTCTACAATCCGCAGACAGATGCCGCAGATGCACTTTCTTGCCCACTTTGGCATACCGCTCGGTTATCTTATTGAGCGCCTCTATTGCAGACATGTCAGCGACCCTGCTCTCTGCAAAGTCGATCACAACGTGATCGGGATCTTCAAGCACAGTGAACTTTTCAGCAAAGTGCGTCGTGGATCCAAAGAAAAGCGGACCATAGATCTCATAGTGCTTCCAGCCTTTCTCATCAACGTACTTGCGCGCACGAATGCGCACAGCGCTATCCCAGGCGAATACCAGCGCGGAAATGATGACGCCAACAACCACCGCAACAGCGAGGTTATGCAGGACAGCGGTGACCAGGGTGACGAGTATCATCACCAGAATGTCTGACGTTGGCATACGCTGAAAAACTTTCAAGCTGGCCCATTCGAAGGTGCCTATTGCCACCATCATCATCACGCCGGTGAGGGCTGCCATGGGCAACAGCTCAATAACTGGCGCGCCGTACATGATGAAAACCAGCAACATGATTGCGGCCACAATCCCCGAGAGCCGAGCACGTGCGCCGGAGGAAATATTGATCAGGCTCTGTCCTAACATGGCGCAGCCACCCATGCCCGAAAAGAAACCGGACAACACATTTGCGGTGCCCTGCGCAACACACTCTTTATTGCTGCGACCACGGGTCTCGGTAATCTCATCAATAATGTTAAGCGTCAGCAAACTCTCAATCAGACCAACACTGGCCACAATTAATGCATAGGGGAAGATCAGCTTTAACGTCTCAAAATTGAGCTCAACCATAGGGATGTGAAACGGCGGAAACTCGCCAGCAATAGAGGTGATATCACCAACCGTTTTGGTGTCGATTCCCAGGACGGTGACGATGCCGAACACAGCAAGGATCGCCACCAAGGATGCCGGCACCGCTTTTGTCAGCTTCGGCAACAGCCAGATGACCAGCATAGAAAAAACCACAAGACCACCAAACGTCGCCAGTTCGGTACCTGCCAACCAGCTGCTGTCACCGGATCTGAATTGATCGATCTGGCTCATGAAAATGATGATCGCAAGGCCGTTCACAAAACCGAAGATGACCGGATGTGGCACCAGGCGCATCACCTTACCCAGGCGAAACACACCGGCCAGCACCTGTAAAATGCCTGCCAGGATGACAGTGGCGAACACGTATTCAACACCGTGGGAGAACGCAAGCGACGCGATGACCACCGCTATCGCACCCGTTGCACCGGAAATCATGCCCGGACGACCGCCCAACACACTGGCCACCAAACCCATAACAAAGGCTGCATAGAGGCCGGTAAGCGGTGACAGCCCGGCAATCAGAGCAAATGCGACTGCTTCGGGCACAAGCGCCAGCGCCACCGTCAGGCCGGATAATATTTCAGTCCGGTAATTGACCGATTGGGCCAGAGCAAAGTATTTCAGATATGTATTTTTGATAAAAAAACCTGCAACGTTAAAGTAAAACCACCGCATAAAGCTGTCCGCATGCGTTGTAATACGCAAACGCCGAAGCACAAGAAATCATGTCACGGGAGTGAATGAACAAGTGGGGACCAATTGAAGCCCGCAGCGTGGCCAGACCAACCAACAACTACAGATAAAACAGGGTGATGGCTAGAGAAAAACAGATTCCACGAGCGGGCGGCATGTTACCGAGACGTGCTGGGGCTGTCGAGGAAAGAAAGCACAGTTTCGGCTACCCGTGCATGTCAACATTCTGACTGAAGCACCTTCTTCAGCCCAGCGTGCAAGTTTTCGGTCAAGCGGCCTGCTTTACTCTACCTGGGCAGAGGCAGCGCCGGGGATCTCTCCACGGTGTTTGATCTGCAGGCCTGTCAGAAAATTGCGCAGCACCTGGTCTTTACACAACCGGTAATGCGGGTGATCCGGCCGGCGGAAAAAGGCGGATAGCTCATGCTTGCTGATGTTGAAGTCAGCCAACGATAGTATTGAGAGAATATCTTCTGCCTGCAGATTGAATGCAATTTTCAGTTTCCTGAACACAATATTGTTATTCATTCTCTTTTCCGGTTCGGGCTGAGGACCATCTTTCCTGCCACGCCGCTCATTGATCAGGCCATTCAGAAAAGTTGCAAACATTGCATCGCTGATTTCTTCGTACTCTGGATCGTCGTCTTTTTTGAGCCAGGCAATCACCTGAGCTCTGAAGACACGCTGGTCAGCCTGCGCGAACAGAGAGATGATGTGCTTGTCATCAAGATCCAGGATGTAGCGCACCCGGCGCAGGCAATCATTGGCTTTCATTATTTCTCAACGTCTGCAGCTGTGAGCTTAATGCCAAACTTTTCATTGTTGAACTCAATCGTATCACCACTAACTATTTTCTTACGCTTCTGAATTTCCACTTTACCATTAACCAGGACCTGGCCAGCTGCAACCACGGCCTTCGCCTGACCACCGCTCGTCACCATACCTTCAAACTTCAGGATCTTGTAGAGTTCCACCGGCTCGCTGGTAATTTCCACCCACCGTAATGGGGTCATATTTTTTTCATCTGAGTTGTTCACGGGAGTGGTCATTACGTAAAGCCTGCGATCGAATTAGGAGGGCTGTTTCTTGCAGGGATCCACTTGGACCCTGGCGGCAGGCATCGTACGCGGCTGAATCCGAAACTGATAGGGGTTTCAGCGTCACCCCCTCGACCAGGAACCGGCGTTATACAACATCCATATGGTGCTTTGCTGTAACCTCATGGCTGAAACAACTGAATCGAATTAACTTGACCACTCCAGAGCTTTCCAATTTACCACCCACCCAATTCCGCTACGGCTGGACCACAGTCATTCTGGTCGCGCTGGGTGCGGCGGTTGCCCACGCCTTCGGGCGGTTCAGTTATGGCTTGCTCCTGCCTGCGGTGCGCGACGACCTCGGCATGTCAAATACTCTGGCCGGCATTGTCGGTGGGGCCAACGTCGGGGCTTATCTGCTGGGCACGATCATCGTCGCGTGGGCGACGAGTCGATATCTGCTGCTGTCCGTTCTACGCCTGGGGCTGATCCTGGCAACCAGCGGACTCCTGCTGGCAGCCATCGCCGACTCACCTTACCTGTTAGCAGCAGGCTTATTTATCGCTGGCATTGGCGGCGCCTGTGTATGGATACCCGCGCCGGTCATCGCTGCCGATGCATTACCCGCAGCACGACGTGGCCTTGCCGTTGGTCTGATGGGTTCAGGTATCGGTCTGGGTATCGCATTCGCCAGCATCCTCAGCGGCTCCCTCCGATCAGATATCGGCGACCGGGCCTGGGCCAGCGTGTATCTGATACAGGGCGCCATAGGTCTTGTTGTTGTGGTTGCGGTCCTTGTTGTGGTTCGTCACCAACAGGCCAGGCCAACCGGAGGTGCGGGTATCGGCGGCTTCGGCGCTCTGCAGAGAATGCATGGCTGGCTACCGCTTACCGTTGCTTATTCCACGTTTGGCTTCATGTATCTGCTGGTTATGGGTTTTTTGACCACCAGACTCGAAGATGACAGCGGATGGAGCAGTGCGGACGCTTCTGCGGCTTTCACATTGATGGGGGGCGCCATGATTTTCGGTGGCCCGTTACTGATCAGCCTTGCTCAACAAATAGGCGTCCGCTGGTCTATCGTTCTGGCATTCGGACTCTGGCCCGTTCTTATTGGCGTTGTTCTCACCGGCGTGCAGACACCAACCCTGGCGGCGTGTATTGGCCTCGGTTTGCTGTTCAGTGGCATCCCTTCGCTCATGACGCTGTATGTGGTTGAAAACACCTCCGCGCAGAACTATGGACCCAGCTTTGCTGCCGCCACTTTAGCATTCGGTTTAGCGCAAACTGTCTCGCCCCCTGTTGGCGGCTTCATTGCTGATCTGAGCGGCTCGTTCACACTTGTCTTCCTGCTGGCAAGCGCCATGGGCCTGGTCGGCCTGTTTGCAGGATTGCAGATGCCGAGGGAGGAAACCAGGGCTTGATTAATAACTTTCAATCACCGGGCGCTGACGACACATAGGTGCGTACCCGGGCTTCGAGTTCTGCATTGGTCAGACCTGCTTTGCGCGCAAGCTCAATGGATTGATCGATATCCATGCGGTGATCCTGCGCCAGGTGGACTGCAAGCCAGGCGCTGGCACGATTGCCGCTGGAGCAATGCAGCCAGACCGGTTGTCTATGATGTTTTTTTACCAATGCTGAAATACGCTGCATCGAATTCTGGTCAAAGGCTGGCCCTTCCCCGGAAATCGGTACCTGGTAATAAGTAAGCCCTGCCTGTGTGACCGCACCAGCTTCGTCCCAATCCATTTCCTTTGGGCTGCGCAGATTAATCACCACCTCAACGCCCGCATCTTTTGCAGCGTTGATGCCGGCAGCATCAGGCTGTGCAGAAAAATACAGGTGTTTGACCTTCACTACATTCTCCGCTGCACCCCAGCTTTGCGGTTCACTGATGTCTGCAGCAGTAACCGTTGACTGCCGTTGCTCCTTGTTCTTTTTATGCTGTCCGGCATGCGGTCCTTTACCACCCTGCCCCTGGTGCTTTCGCGGTGATGCCTGACCAGGTGGATGCCCAAGCACGAGCCCCCTTTCCTGAGCTCTGATCGCCATTTTTGCGTGATTCTCTGCCCGTACGCGTGCTCGTTCTTCGTCAGTAGCCGCACTATGCATACGCTGCCGCATGGCCGCGCGCTCTTCTTCGGTCATCAGTTCTTTACCGGTCACGTATTTTGGCGCCTGTTGGGAATCAGCTTTTTGCCCATCCCCTGACAGGGACTCACCCTGAGCGTGTCCAATCGTGCCCATCAATAACAGTGTGAGCGCTAACGCCAGTCTCACTGGCAGCGACATCGCAGAGTTTCTGCGGAGGCTGTTGTTGCTAAGTGAATAAATAAACATTTCTCTCTCCATTTTGTTAGGGGCCGCCTGTTAGTCGTTTAACTGAGCAAACCAGGCGCCGACTGATAAAGAATGAATCCACCCATAACGATCAGGAAGATGCCAAAAGTCCTGCGGAGTTTTTCCTGTGGCATCCGATGCGCAAAGGTACTGCCGGCAAAGCTACCCACAATTCCGATGGTGCTGATCAGCAGAATCACGTCTAAATTGAGTTCCAGGCCTTCCGCCTGCATGACATCAAGGTATTTAAAAAAACCAGCAAATGATTTCATGGCGATAATAACAAGGCTTGTGGCCACCGCTCGCAGCATGGACAAGCCACCCAGCAGTACCAGGGCCGGAACCACTAGAAAGCCGCCGCCTACACCAACAAAACCGGTAAGCCAGCCAACAGCAACGCCCTCACCGCCAATCTTGATAAAACTATGCGGACGATCTGATTCTGAATTGACGCAAAGCGGACGCAGCATCAGATAGGCTGCCGCCAGCATGACAAGCGCAAACACAGTGAGCTGTAGTGCTCCGCTTACAAACTGCGATGTCCAGGCACCGCCATAAGTACCCACCATGCCAGGCACACCAAACAGGAGAACGTAGCGCCAATCCACCTGATGAGCACGTATATAGGGCAAGCTGGCGGCCATTGAAATCAAACCTACTATCGCAAGGGAGCCCGCGATGGCCAGTTTTTCAGGCTGGCCCACCAGATACACAAGCACCGGCACGGTCAGGATGGAACCGCCAGAACCGAGCATCCCCAGACTCAATCCAATGGCAAGGGCACCCGGCCAAGCGAGGAGATAGATCACTCTGACAAATCTCCGCACGCCGCAGTTTTAAGAGGGATTTTGAAATAGCGCGTGCCATTGTCCTCAGCAGGAGGAAATGCGCCGCCGCGCATATTGAACTGTACCGATGGAAACAACAATTTGGGGGCAGCCAGCTGTTTGTCCCGGGCTTCACGCAAAGTGACAAAGGCTTCAAGGGTTACCCCATCGTGAATGTGTACGTTGTTTGCGCGCTCTTCTGCAACTGTTGTGAGGTTACAGAACGTCTCGCGCTCTTTGGTGCCGTAGTCGTGGCATAAATAGAGTTTAGTATCTTCCGGTAGCGCCAGGATCCGTCGAATCGATCTGTACAAAGCTGCCGCGTCACCGCCAGGAAAATCCGTGCGGGCGGTACCGTAGTCCGGCATAAACAGCGTATCGCCCACAAACGCCATACCCGGAAAAACGTAAGTGACACACGCAGGTGTATGGCCAGGCGTTTCCAGAACGTGTCCGGTGAAATTACCCACCTGCAACGTACTCTCCGCAGATAGAAGCTGATCAAATTGATGACCGTCCGAAGCAAATTCGGGCTCCACGTGGAAGACGTCGGCAAACGTCTGTTGCACCTGCTTTACCAGACCGCCCATGGCCGTTTGTCCACCAAGATTGCGCTGCAGAAAACGCGCAGCTGACAAGTGATCTGCGTGAACGTGTGTATCCAGAATCCAGTCCACGGTCAGCGCATTGGCCTTGACGTAGTCGATGATCTGCTGCGCTGAGGTTGTATCGACCCGACCGGAGGCCGGATCATAATCGAGTACCGAATCAATAA